GGGGGTGTGGATGTACATGCCTCAGGAGGGGAGCACTGAGCACAGTTACCATAAAGTCACTGTCTCCATTTCTTGGTTTTTAAATCATTGTTGTCTGTGGGATTTGTCCTCTGGGCTCTCTCTTACCCCGGATGAAGTCTTGGGCATGCACCCTAGCCTTCTCAGTCACTCTGAGACAACATAAAGCGCAGTGCGATGTGCTGTCATCTATTTCCCGACTTCAGCTAGTTTCTCCCACAGGGAGCTGGTGGCTGTTCTTAGATGCTAGCAAGATGAGTGTGGGTGGGCAGGAGTGCGGCATAACAGGCTTTTTCTTTGCTCCAACATTTTCCTTATTCACCAGCTAGTGAATCCCTCCAAGCTTGGGGTGGGAGAAGAAGGCATCATAAGAAAAAGATGCAGTCTTTCACGGCTCATTCAGTTGTAACCTGGGTTCACCAAGTGCTTGAGTCCAAGGTCAAAGAACAGGCTGGTGGGGTGAGCTTCTCTCCGGCAGGGAGCTCCTCGGGAGGGTCCAGCATCTCCCACACATGACGGGGGCAGGGTTCAGCTCCAAGACCCACATTACACCCAAATTATTTTAAGAGAGAAAAGGTAAAAACAAAACACAAAAATATCACAGAAGGAGCCACTGCGACAGGCAGCTGACACCCTTGGGCTGGAGAGAACAAAGGAAAGGGGAGGGAGTAAGCCAAACTCAGTGGAGGAGCTGCAGCCCACAGCTCACATGCAGACATCTGAGGAGGGACCTTCTAGACTGATGCTGGGGTCGCTGCTCTTGGAGCCAGGGCCCTGCGGAGCCGGGAACCCAGCTTTGCTGGTATCTCTGAGGGGCTCTGCGTGTGTCAGAGAAACTGCAGACCAGATTCGTAGGCTGCTCTGCTCGTAAACTGCCACTGCCAGGGTGCACCATCAAGGACGGCAGGATGCTGGCAGGACCAGGAGTCAGACGTGACAGAGTGGGAGGCACAGCCCCTCTGCGACTTCTCATCTTCTGGTCGTCTTGGGTGCATCTGTTGGCACAGCTGAATAGAACTCTGACAGCAGAGGTGGCGCGTGGCTCCCAGTCCCCATATCACAAGGCAGAGTAGAAAAGGGAATGTGTGGGGTTGAGAGACAGTAGCTTAACCACCAGCTCAGCATCCTGGGATTCATCCCTCTTCCAGTCAGCAGGAAGTGACAAAGAGCATGGGAAGGCCCTAGGGGCCAGGCCCCTTCTGCTGACATTTGGCTGGTAGAACGTAATCACGTGTCAGGTTCCGGGAGGCTGGGAAACCCTTGGACGTCTAGACAAAATGGAACCAAGTACTGGTGAGCGGCTGCCGCTGTCTGCCACTGGTGCTGTGCGGACACAGTTCAAAGTGAGGACCTTCCAACTGTGGACATCCAGCTACAGTTCTTTGGATGGGGGATGGAAGAGCAAAGTGTTACTCCTGGCTGCTCAATTCCACTCTGCTTCAGCCCTGCTTTCCTCCCAGCTCCCACTGAGATGCCCACCATAACCAGTGTGCAGAGACCCTGCTTCATCCCAGTGCTAGTGAGCATGAGGCTCAGTCACCTCCAACCCATCTCCTGGAGCTGTCCTGCGGTTCCCTTGGAACCACTCTAGGGCACGCAGTGTCTGACTGAGTACTTCACTTCATGGGGCACTGCTTTTAACAAAAGCTCTGGAATATAGCATCATTGAGAGGTAACTTGATTTATTAACATATACGTCCACTGAAATGGCTAATAGATGTAGTCTAGAAACCAAGAAGACCCCTCACCGGCCTCAGGTGAAGGGGAAATATGTCCCTCCCTTTCCCTGCCTCGCTCCTCAGAGGCAGGTGGGACATGTCTTTGCCACCTAAGAGAATCCCCTCCTCAACACGTGCCACCTCTGCGCACCTGCCTTCTTCCTCATCCTGTCTTGGAAGCAACAGGAAGCTTCTCATGTGAGCAACAGTTACAGCTACCAGGCATTCACAAACCCACAAGGCAGAGTGGGCTCGTCCTCCTTTACAGAGGGCAACTGCAGGGTGGAAGTCATGAAAGTCCTTTCAAATGCTGCTTTACCCATTTTTTCTTTTCTCAATCAGCTTCCTCAGGTTGAAGAAAATTTTGCTTTAACAATCATACTAGTTTTGCATTCTATTTCAAACTGATTGTCTTAAAACTAATGTTTTTTTTTGTCTGGTTTCTAAGTAAAATCAGTGTTTCAGGAAGAAGCAACCTGTTTACCCTCTGGCTTCAAATCACTTTGAGGGTAAGCGCTGAGGCTGTGAGCAAATTGCTGATATCTGGCGACAAGTTGAAAGCCCACCACTGCAACCTGAGAAAAACAAGCAAAGACAGCTTAGGACTAAGCATGGCGGAACATGCCTGGGCGGACAGCTAGGTGGTTCCCAGAAGATGCTTTCCATCCCAGGATACCCCAGAGGATGGCCTTTCCCCTCCGCAAGAGGGTTCAATTATGTCCTGATACCGTTGGAAATGCTATTTATGTGGAAAACACACAGGGAAAGACAGACATCTTGTGGGCATATCATAGCATTACATCACAGGTCTGGAAATTAACACCTAATAATCAGGTAATATCATTGAATAGCACACTGTTAGTCACAAAGAATTCCATCAAACATCTCTCCAGCTTTTAAAATAAAAAATGAACATACAGTTCATTTTTCTTATGGTTAAATGCATCAAATAAACACATAGCCTTGAACTTCCAAAGAGCAGAGAGCTTTCCATTTTGAGTTCTCTTTGGTTTCTAGACCACATCTACTAGCCATTTCAGCGGATTTATATGCTAAGAAACCAAATCAACAGCTACTGCTCAATGACGCTAATTCTAGAGCTTTCATTGTAAGCAGTTACCAAGTATCTGAGAGGTAATGAGCGTGCGGGGCGAGAGCTGAGACTTTCTTAGTTGGATCCTCTGAACAGCTGGCTGGATTCGACAGGCACAGGGAATCCCAAGACCAGAGTCTGGAATGCAGACATTCCTCTGGGTCTTAGGGTTTCTCTGGCAGAAAAACAGAAACTTTATCTTGGAAATTTGACAAGAAAAATCCTTGTAAAGAAAAAGCAAACCATCTTTTTCCTATGAGTAAGCTGAAGATATATTTACCTATTTTCCAAAATGGATATCACCATCAATAAATTACGAAAAACGACTGTCTAGTGAATCCTATCGAGTGGGTCCAATCCTTTTCACTTTTTACTTAAATTACAGTGGGTCCTCTGTTAAGGAAACATCAGCACACATATGTCATTTGCTTAAGAATTTAAAGACAGATGTGTGATTCCAAAGCCACATGTCACCATTTGCTGCAGTACAGATGTTTGCTTCTTTGTTTCCATCGTGAGGAAAGAACAGGTGTGGACCATCACGTGGGAAAGAGAAAAAATGTAATTTTGACCATTCCTCAATTAGTGGCCTACATAAATTCTCATTATGACCAATAGTCACACCTGTTTTTGTACGGCCTGCACGCTAAGAATGACAAATAAGTGGCACAGACCTGTGTGACCTACAAAGCCTAAAATATTTACCATGTGGCTCCTCAGAGTTTACCTATCCCTGCATTTCATGAACAAGACTTGTTTTCATGAAACAGTTTGAGAACTAGCTTTGAGAAAAGTAGGAGAAAATGTAATTTTATTAATATTTTTGAAGGGAGATATTTGTTGTTTCTTACCTTCAATTATTTGCAGTAAATTTGACTCCTTTTAACCTTCATTTAACATCTACTGTGCAGTATTTAAAGGGAAGACTCATCTCTAAGATATAAAAGTCACTATCATCCAATTCAAAATGTGGTTATTAAAAATTACTCAGTGCTCAGGGGCAAAAAAGGTGGGAGAGTCTTGGGGTTGCGGAGGTAAACCACGGAACCTGGAAGAGCAGGTAGGATTTCCACACCTAGAGCTGGAAGGAAGTGAGTTTCAGGCGAGGGGAAAACAATCGCAGAGTGAAAAGGCAGGGGGGCAGCAGTGAGAAGTCCAAGTTCCCCTAATGATAAAAGTGCATCGTACCTGTGGGTACGACGGTGTAGAGGGAGAGAGAGGTGGTGTCTTCTCCAGTAATGTGCTTTGGAAAAACACTCATTTAAGTAATTTTAAATAAAAGGAAAGTTATGGTGAAGATAAATTTGTCTGGAGTCAGAGGCTAGCACAGGAATGATCATGATCCCTACAGGTCTCTTTCTCTAACACCTGCTGCCCCTTTCCCTAATGGGTCACAAGGTCTGTCTTCCACTGTGTAGCTGCATCCCTCTGTGGATCTGCTCACCTCCTTTTTCTCTTTTAACCTTACTCTTTTCTGCCTACTTGTCTGAGGGAAGCAAGGGCATGTCCTCAGCTATGTACACGCCTGTCTTGCTTGGGTGTCAACGACAGAACACCTAGCGGTTGCTGGATGGCGCTTCCTGCACTCCACAGCAGGTGGTATCCAGAGTGTGTAAGAGAGGCAGGGGTGTGAAATTTGGAGAAGAAAACCCAGAGAAAAATGTAGATTGATTTTTTTTTGGAAAGGGTGTTTTCAGTTGCAGTTTCCATACGGAGGAGCTAGGAAATGGCTGGTAAGGTCTAGACATTAACACAAACACTCTTTCTCTTGAATTTGGACTTTTTAACCAGACGATGGAGGCTGCGAGAGGCTTCTGAACCAGGTATTGATGGGGACAAGCTATGATTGCTAAAAAGACGATACGGTGACTGGAGATAAACACCCAGGTTCAAACAAGATCTGAATTTACCCACTAACTACGGCTACAAGTGGTTTTTTTCCTTTTCTTTCCATTTTCACCCTCTTCCAAGAGATACCAAAAACAGGATTTGGAGGCGGCAGGATAATAGGCAAAGGGGCGGGCAGGGTGGCCAAGGATTCCACCAGGCTCTGGGCTTCGTGCCCACAGCTGGGCGTGGGAACCCGTCGCTCGGGAATCAGGGGCTGCCGCGGCGACCGGCGTGGACAGACGACCGAGGAGCGAGGGGTCGGAAGACAAGGGGACCGTCACAGGACCAGGGGAGCCGCCACCCGAGACCAAGGCCGTGCAACCAGCGCCGAAGCGCACTGGGCGCGGCCCGAGGAAGCGCACGATCTCCGCCCGCCCCGCGTTGCGTCGGGAACTGTAGTCCTCCGTCTCCTCCTCCCTGGCCCGGGACGGGCTAGGGGACAGCCTCCGGGACAGCGCCTGTCCCTCTAGTTGTAAATCACGCACTTTCCAGTCCTGGACTCGGGGTCCTTCCACTCCGGCGGACGTCTAGAGTTTACGTCACGGGCGAGTCACCTCCCACTTAGCCGTGGCCTTTAGGTGTTTATGAAAAGCCTGTCATACACCAAGCTGGCAATAAAGGATCGACCCCAAAAAGTGGAAGGAATGCACCTCTGATGCCTTCACTCCTCTTGGGTGCTCCTCTGTGGGCGTCTTCCCCGCCGCATAGCGCAGCTCCACTCCCTGTGTTGCTCAGGCATCTCTTTAGGCAGCCTGGCGCCTCGGGGAGGGGCGGGGCCAGCCAGGGCGGGGCGAGGCCCTGAGTAGACTGCGTCGCGCTCGGGGGCCGCGCCGGGTAGCGTTTCTCTTTAGTGCCTGAGGCAGCTCTGGCTCGGGGAGCCTTTCGCTAGCCCTACGGGGACCTCGGTGCATGGATGGACCCGCCCGGACCCGGCGGGAAGCGGCCTGGCAGGCGGCGGCCCCGGCGGCATCAGCAGAGACAGGACGGGGCCGAGGCCGCGGGCCCCTGAGGCGTGCGTGCCCACCGGGCCCGGCAGCGGCACCATGATGCCGGGCGAGACCCACTCGGCGGCGTCCGGGACGGCAGCGGACCTGGCGCGATGTCAGGGCTGCGCCTCTCTGCAGCAGGTGCGGCACCTCCTGGGGCCGCGGGCGCGGGGGGCGACTCTTGCTTGGCCGCCAGGAATCGCGGAATGTGGGGTCCGGCCGCGCGGGCTGCGCCTCGGTGCGCTGCTCTCCCTTCCCGACCGAAGCTCCTGGTTGCTCGTCTCCCTGCTCCGTTTTTCCTACACTAGTTTTGGGGACGACTTCCTTTACTTTATTTAGGCTTGAACCCCAGAGTTCATTGACCGGAATGCCCTGGTGTAAAGGTGGGGGTGGAGTGAGCGAGTCCTGGAGGGCCCGCACCTTCCCTACCGGGCCTCGGAGCTCCCTAGGGCTGACCCTTAGGTCAGTGAGTGACAGGTCAAATGCTGAGGACAATTATCTCTCTGAGGGTAGGGCTTTGGTCTTCTAGCTCATCCTGAGTATTTGTTTCGAGGCAGAATCATACATGACATGTGGGTTGTCTGAGTCATTAGGCTTGAAGGCTCTAGGAAGGCATTTCAGTTTGTATCAGATGTACCATTCCGAGGCCGATTTTTTCAAAAGCAAGCCAAGTAATTGGTCGAGTCAAGTAGCAGGTCAATTGTTTGATAAAAGTAGTTTATTAAAGGCATGTAGAGACTGGAAGTATCTAACGGCGGCCTAGGCTCTTCTCTGTAGTGACAGAAGGGAGAATTGCTGGAGTATGGCTCCAGATCTTATGGGGTGGTACTTGGGAAGCAGTCCTCCTCATTTTCTACGACTCTCCTAGCTGCCTGATGTCGGGGGTCTCTTTTAACTTCTACTATCACGGTTTCAGTGATAAAATGGAGCTCACCACCACTTCACCTATTCTACGTAGCGTTCTAGGAACTACAGACATTGTGGTGAACAAAATAGGATCTGCCCTTAAAAGTAGGATGCAAGTATGTGAATAAGGCTTTAGAAGATTTTAGGTGTTAGAAAATAAATGAGGATATTGGAATACTGGTCATGTCTCCTAGCTAGGGTAGTCAGGTAGGGTACTTTTGAGTCAGTGAGTTTCAGATATTTGCATGAGAAGGATTGCGCTGTCAGAAGAGACATGGGAAGAGCTTTCTGGATAGACGGATTAGTAGGTGGAAAGGTTCCTGTGGTGAGAAGGAGTAGGGTGTCTTTGAGAAGCAGAGCATAGTGTGGTTGGCATGAGCATAGTGCAGAGGGAAGATGGTTGATGAGACCAGAAGGGAGCGCAGGCTAGGTAGGCCGTGCAGGGAAACTTGATTTGCATTTTAAGTGCAGTATCTGTAAACTGATTGTAAACATAAAGTGTTGAAGGGAGGGGAGGAAAGAAATGTGCTGCTTTTGTGAGTAGAAAGAGAACTAATAATTAGTACTATCATTGGCTTCATTGAGCTGCATTGTGTAGATGTAACTCGCCCCTCTCTACCACCCCAAGAACCTGAGTAGAGTTCTCCCGACTCTTTAATACGTTGTATTTATTATTTGAGCCAGTTCATTCACTTAACAAATGCTTATTGATCATCTGCTGTATTTTCCACACTGCAGTTATGGCACTGGGGGAGCTAAAGACAAAAATTGTTGACCTCTTGGAGCTTCTGTTCCAGGAGGGTGGCAGGATAAATGAAACAAATGTTATGTTAGAGGGTAATAAAAACATTGTTGATGAATTGAACAGAGATGGAGAGGGAATGAATGGGTGAGGACTAGGCCAGTGGCTGCTGGAATTTAAGTAGGGAGTCCTGGAACGTTTATATTGGAGCAAAGGTGAGAGAATGAGCTCTGTTGACACCTTGGAAGAAAAGCGTCCTATACAGTGAAAACATCAGATGTGAAGAACTGTAGCAGGAGCTGGCTTGGTGTGCTTGGGAAGAGCAAGAAGGCCAGTGAAGCTGGAGTGCCCTGAATGCTGGGAGTCAAGGAAGTCAGGAAGGTAGGAGGAGGGCCTGATTGTGTGGGCTCCTATAGACCATTGTTCAGGTTTGGGCTCCTCTGATGGAAATGTTTAGTCATTGGAGGCTTTTGCACAGGAGAACTACTGATGTGAATTGTGCTTTTCAGTCATGGATCTGTTCTGGTTAAAATTAGCAACTGTATCTTCTGGTTGCTTAGGCCAGAAACTAGATGGCATCCTCCATACAGCTCTTTTTTCTCACAACCTGTATACAGTTGATCAGATTCTGTCCACTCTCCCATCATTATTCACCCACTTTTCAACATTTCTACTGCTGCCACTGTGGGGGTGAACAACTCTAATCTATGGCCTAGAGATTGAATCTCCTTCCTTCCACCCTTGCCACATTCCTGCTGTGATTTCTCAAAACATCAGTAAGAGTAACCCTAGATCTAGGGGTCTGCAGACTTTTTCTGTAAGAGCAGAGTCACAAGTATTTAGGCTTTGGGGACTTGTTCATAGCTACTTAACTCTGCCATTTTCATGTGAAAGCAGCCATAGACAATTCATAAAGGAATGGGTATGCCTGTGTTCCATTGAAACATTATAGAAACTGGACTAGGGCCTTAGTTTACAGAGCTCTTCTCTAAGTTAGGACACTATTGCATTTGGATTTTCTGTGGCCTGGAATTGGATTACCTTTTTAGGTGAAAGTTATGAGTAGAGTCTGGAGGAATTCTGTAGTTGTGCAAAGTGAGGATAGAAAAATTGGTTCCTGGCAGTTTATAGAGAACGTTGAATGGTAACCATCATAAATTCTTGTACTTATTTCTGACAGTGTTATGGGATGGTGAAGGTTTTTGCATAGTTACATTAGGATAGTGCTTGTAGTGGAAGTAACGGTGGTATGCAGCATGGATTGGAGGGAGTGAGACTAGATATGGTAAATTTTGCTGATACATAGTCGTGACAATGAAAGCCTGAAGTAATTGAAGTTTCCTGGGAATGAGAACAAAAAAGAAAAAGGCTCTGAATATGAGACAGTGCAAAGACTGGGTGGGTCTCATCTCAGAAAATGGAAGGTCCAGAGATTTAAAACTCGAATGACTGTGAGAACTATGGTAGGTACAAGTGGAAGAAGAAATCAAGACGGAAGAGACCAAAGTTGGAATGACATCAGAACTAGGGGTTTTCAACCATTATCAAATTTAATGTTTGTGGAACACAATGCTTCCAGGGTGCCCTAGTATCCCTCAAGGAAATAGCAGGCCAGGTTAGATGTGCACTATGTTCAATGTAAGAATTTTATTTGGGCTGGGTGTGGTGGCTAACTCTTGTAATCCCAGCACTTTGAGGCCGAGGCAGTAGATAGTGAGGTCAGAAGTTCAAGGTCAGCTTGGCCAAGATGGTGAAACCCTGTCTCTACTAAAAATATGAAAATTAGCCAGGCGTGGTGGCACGTGCCTGTAATCCCAGATAGTCAGAAGGCTGAGGCAGGAGAATTGCTTGAACCTGGGATGCAGAGGTTGCAGTGAGCCAAGATTGAGGCACTGCTGCACTCCAGCCTGGGCCACAGAGCAAGACTCCATTTCAAAAAAAGAAAGGTAATTTTATTTGGTGGAGGAGAGGTGTGGGGATAGGAAAATGAGGCATTGTGTTCTGTCACCTAAAGGAATCTTTGAAACCGTGATAACAATTCATGGACTATATGCTGTCCTTAGAGTCAGTGATAGAAAAGCAACTAGCTGATTGATGTGTGCTGGTTGGGTTTCCAGTTGATGAAGGGGAACATGGAATGGTGAGGAAAGGAGAAACAAATAAAATGTGTTAGAGGGTTAAACTGGAAATGTGTTCCAGAGGGAATCAAGAGTTCTAGAGGGAATCAAGGTCGGAAAGAATGAGAATTAAGGAAAAGCAATTCCTTTGGTCAATTGGTAGACAACAGCTTTTTGGAAGTAATTTTCTGCATATATTGTAACTACATCAAGTTCTGTATTTCAGTTATTTTTTTTTTTTGAGACGGAGTTTTGCTCTTGTTACCCAGCCTGGATCGGTTAATTTTTTTGTGAGAGAGAAACTAAAGAGGTTAGGTACTGAGGGAAGATATTCTGCACTATAGTTTTAACCCCTTGATCATGCAGAAAATTTACAAGCATAATATAGGAGTCAGTCTTTCAAATAATAGGCAACCATATTGGTGTTGTGACTTCATTCTGAACTGTAGTGAATGTTAGGCTGACTTGCCTCTATTTTGAATATCGGTTTACTCGCATTGAAAATCTGCCTTTCATTTCTTAATCTTCCCTGTCCTTTTTTCTTCAGTTGTTGAAGAGATACGGTACCTTTGCTGAGATCATTATTTGATTCAGAAGTGTACAGATTGACTGCATTTTATGTGTCTTTTGTTCGTAGTCTCACAAATTACTTTATATCTGTTTTGCCACTCTCATTGTTGACAGTTTATTGCTGATCCATAGCCCAATGCCCATGTGGGTTACAGAACTTTGGCAGTCAGATACACCAATGTGGTTCTTCACTC